TTGCGGGACCTGTGTAGTCAGTGTGGAAAATCCTGATTAAATGCGTATTTTCCTTATGTTGTAGTCGGAGTCAATTTTTTCAACTCGGATACGTTAGCCAATTGTATATTTTTTCGATTCCACAGCCTTCACGTCCAGTGACGAAATAACTCATGTGAGCAAAAGATCTCTAGTCGACAGATGTCGCTAATGAGCGAAAAAATTGGTTGCTCCCCGAAGTATGTGTACCAAGATGGCGCACAACCTAAAAATAATATGTGTATCATGTTAGGGTTCAGGTTGTGCGCCATCTTGATGCACATACTTCGGGAGCTCCAAAACATGTGCGTCAGAATGTAATCGTTAGACTCAGATGATCGAAATTGACTGTGTTACATTATCGAGCCTTGCTGTCGAGTCTAATATGACACATTATTACACGCAGACTAGTTCGAGGCCGATATCGTCTGTTATCGAGAATTGCCTCAGTGCTGGGGTTTAGGTTGCCAAGCCCATCGTAATCAGTTTTTTTTCACCATCATTCAAATACACTTCGTACAAACAATATAAAAAACAAACGTAAAATTGGTATTTCAGAGTGAAGGAGGGTGCGGAAAACCCAATACTGGTTATCAAGCAACAACACCCGTGATTGTGATTTAGTCTTACAGTAATCGGGAGAAAGTAATAGCCAAACGCTGTATCATAAAAAAAACTCACAGCAAAAATACGACTCCAAGCAAGGTAACCAAAGAACGGCATTCGAAGACAAGGTAGCAACATCCAAGGACATTATTTTGTTTGATATTGGGGCGGTGGTCTGGGAGGAACCGGGTGCCGTTAATAGTGTGGTGAAGGGTCTTTCTTGAATTGTTCCCATAGTTATGTAAGATGTTGTTTTTTTAATAAATTTTGTCGCATATTGTCTTCAAATAATTTGTCACATATTCATTTCATCTGACTACGTCATCCAATAATTACTTCACAGTGATGTCATAAGTACCAACAAAATATCGTCGTACGGAATCGCGCACTTTAAACCCGAACTCTTGATATCAATCAAACACTTCAACAAATCGTTTCCAGTGATAATTCGCGTCTTTTGAAAATGTTTCGTCTGTTAAAGGTCTGTATTTGTGCTTCTGTAGTATGCGGCGCTGTGTCCTCAGCAGGGGCGCGTCTAGTGGGTCATAAGGGCACGGAAAGAACGTTGTAGGGTTGTATACACGTGAGTTCGTTATTTAATAAAAAGAATGTATCATTATCTATACAAACATTTAACACTTACTTGACCTTAATTTATTCATTCATGTATAGCAACATCTAAAATTTATTTATTCCCAATTTTCTTTGAAGTTAGGTATAATGGGCATCATTATCAGAAACTTTCCATGGGCAGCAGAAAAGTTTGACTCGCCCCTAGTGTTTAGTCACGGTAGTGAAGGAGTGTATGCAATATAGACAAATAGGGCTCACAGGTGGCATAGGGATTACAGACGCGAGAAAAATGCGTTGCTCTACTCTATGCTTTTGTGAAAGTAGATCCGTATGAGAATAACACGAGGAAGCTGTATGTAAGAATAAAGATGACTGTTTTTGTGATTCAGGAGTTATGCTGCACTCTAACACCACACATATATTTCTGCGAGACTAATTACTTATCCTTCTTCTATGCCTTTGCGCACCAGTGTGCGTAGAACGCAAGGTGGCCGTAGTAGGAATGAAAATGACTATTTTATGTGATTCAAGAGTCTTGCTGCATATATACACATACTGAGATCAACTTGACTTGGCTTAAGCTCAATTTGAGTCGACTCAGGGCTTTGAGCCACCGCCGGTTGGTAAGTAGTTGTTTACCCTCGCTTTCTTCCCCAACTTTATATCCGTCGAAAGAGAAGGCAATCATCCCACACTCGGGAGTTTTATTTCTGTGACTAAACAAGCAGGCGCCGCCATATTGTCCCAAACAACATTTTTGAGAGAATTCTACCTTGTGTGGAAATTATCGCGTCAATTTTATCCCGATTCCCACTTATTACATATTGAAATGGTTATGGGCGACCTTTTATAAAACAGAGGTAAATAAAAGGGTGAAAGTAAAAATGTTATAAAACCCAACATAGATGGAATTAAATTATATTTTGCGGCAAATATGAGCCAGCAGTCGCCAGGGTGTTTGAAATTTCGAGGGGTTGTTCACCCCTTATGGGAGTGGTGTGGGGAAATCACCGCACAAATCAGACATTGAACAGGTATAGTTGCCAATGAATAAAGGCAGCTGTCACGTCAAATAATTATAATTAAGTAATTTGTTATTTATTTTCCAATAAATTAGCACTAATGGATGTTTAGAGGTAAAATTAGTAATTTAAGTAAAGTGCCGACAATCGAAGCAACTATTGACACCTCCCTTCAAAAAGTTTATTCCCCGCCGTTCAAATACGCGAGAAACACCACTTAGGTGTTTATCGGAAGGTTTCCTTAGTCGCCTTGTAAGTGCGAGATTACTAGAGAGAGATATCTACGCCAGTGCTCTTCAACCGGGTATACTGTATACCTAATTGTATACCAGACCATTCCTAGGGTATACGACTAATAAAGGGTATACAAAGGGTGTACAGCCTAAATCAGGAATTGTAAGCTCTAATATAATAACTTTTAAAATATTCAATTAGAGACAACAATGCAAACGCGACGCATATGAAGTATAAAATGTCATTCACGCAATGAACTGACTTGAGCACATTGTTACATCGCAAATTATGTAGATAATTCAGGCACGTGTCTGGGTTTTGATGATTTCGGCTGCCGTGCACGTCGCTTGATCTGCTGAAAAAAAATGAATTACACGATGTTTTACGGGAAGTCGTATATTTTGTGAATACGATTAAGAATAGTTCAAAACAAACGAGACTTTTCTCGAAACTGTGTGAAGAAACAGCCGCCACTTTCAAAGAACTTCTTCTACATTCAGAAGTACGGTGGCTGTCCCGAGGAAAAGTTCTTTTCCGTGTGTTTGAACTTCGCGAGCAATTAGGCGTATTACACTAATAGAGGAGACCAAAAAAACACCAAGTTTCGTAATATATATTGGGTTGCAAAATTAGCGTACATGGCGTCGATTTTTGATCGTTTTAATCAAGTGAACGTCAGTCTTCAAGGAGATGATATATTTCAATCAGCGATATCAATGCTCTGAAGAAGAAAATTCAACTCTGGAAAAACAAGGCTTCTTCACGAAACTTTATTGACTTTCCTCTTTTAAATCAATATTTGAAAGAGTCCGGGTGGGAGTTTGAGGTCGTTTCAACGATAAATACCATGTCTACCCTAATTGTTGGTCATTTGAACTTATAGGGTGATAAATAATGCTTTGTACTTTTTTGGAGATAAAAACACCTGGATAGACGTCTGGAAGAAAACTCGTGGATAATGCAGCCATTTACTAGTGAACCAACAGAAAACGAATATTGTTGGAACTCCGGGAGGATTAAAATCAAAGTATTTCATTCCGCGAAATGGATTACTCTGGAGTTTTGGGTTTCTCTTTTTGAATTTCCCGAGTACAAAAATCTGGCAGAAAAGGCCGTTGCTCTCCTGGTACAGATGCCTACAACTTATTTGTGTGAAGAAGGGGTTTGCAGTCTTGTTGAAATCAAGTCGAAAAAGAAAAACTCAATACTTGATATTGATTCACTAATGCGGGGGAGCAATTGAAAAGGAACTAAAACCTTGTTATGAACGAATTGTCGAAACTATACAAGAACAAAGAAGCCACTGAAACTAGATTAACATTGTCTTTACATTTTTCACACATTTGGGCGTTAAATTAATTGCATCTGTGAGTAAAAACTAAAAGAAGCATTTTTAATGACTCGCCCCGCCACCTAGATTTTAGTTCTTTTCAATATGTGCCTAGCATTTAATGTTCATTTTAGCTTGAAATAAACATTGGTATTTGTAAGGTATACAAAGTTCTCGAAAAATTGTAAAAGGTATACCACGGTAGAAAAGGTTGAAGAACACTGATCTAGACTTCCTTTTGTTGTATACACTCTCGAAATAAAAAAAAAGAAAAATTTTTCGAGAAATTGCTTCAAATTTTAACGACTGTAGTGAAGAAAGTAGTGATACAGACGAATTGTCTATTTCAGTGTGTTGTGTACAACCTCCTTTTTTTAAATAAGCCATGAATGACAAGTCAGATATAAACCAGACCTGAGATATCGATCCAACATTATCGCTCAGTTGTGAACACAGCGTGTTATTTACTATAATATAGGATGTCATATACAGTCTTCTGTTCACGCTAAAACACTATTGAGATATAATCTGAAAGAATTCATTTAGTCTATTTGTGTGGGACTATTTGCTGAGTAATAGCTGGATTTTTGAAATTTCAGGGGGTGGGTCAATGAAAATGTTGAACAATATTTTTATTCTTCTAGTGAGTTTCGTAGCGCACATCAGGTGACTACCTGAAAATGATTTTAAAATGTTCCTTAAAACTTTAGTAACAAATATTGCCTTGTTCCCACTTCCAAAAATTGCATGTTTTACGGAAAAGACGCTTTTATTACAAGAAATATGTGCTACGATCTGTCCTATATTCTCTACATTTTCGGCAATGAACAATGACTTCTGCATGACGTTACAATCGAATCGAATCAGCTGTTAGCGAGCGGATGAATATTAGGTATTACTTCTCGATCTTGCGTTGAGTTGGGCAGCCTTTACATAGCCCTGTTTAGTTATTATTAGTTAAGTTATGTTGAGACGTTGTTGAAAAATGTATAAGTAAGTTATTAAACACGTGTAGATCCTTACCACGGATATGGGCAGTGAGACGAAGCCTTGAGAACGCCCAGAAAATGAGTTTCGTAGCGCACTGTTGGCGCAGAGCCTTGATTAAATCTTAATTGTGGAGCGCGGACTCTGCCCACATAGGGTGTACGGATGGCCAATACCAATACTCTCAACGACCAGGTTGCACTCCCAAAAAGACGCGTACTATCACTGTATCAGCATAAGATGTTTTATTTTCTTGTGATGTGTTGCAAACAGTGTAAAACAATACGAACAGATGCAGTACTGCAATATGAACAGATACACAGTACGAACAACAATACTTCAGTACGAACAGATGCACAATACAAAGAAGTACGGTTTTCTGAAATAACATAAAAATAATAAATACACAAATAATAACAAGATCGGGGTAGTATCGTATCAGTAGGCCTATACTATTGTAAACAAACCCTAAATATCTTTGTTACGTCACACAATCACCTAATGACCAACTATGGCATCACTAACGGTTATAATAAATAAACACACAAATTACCTCTGCCTGCACTTTCAAGGCCTGACAGGAAAACTTAGAATACAAAACTATATGTATAAACTTACTTGACGTTGTGTCCTCAAGGGTCGTTAAGCAGTAACTTGAACATTAAATCACAATAACTTGACTGAATTACTTAGCAATATTACAATAACAACTGTGAGAAATATCAATAATACACTATTATTAGCAGTACAAATAAATACCCTACAATTTACTAACACTACAAGCTAAGTCGTTCACTAATTAATCAATTATAGACCCTAAAATAACACTCTCAGACCGACTCAAAACAGCCATCAGCCAGAAACTTCCAGAACCCTGCAGCTTGCGCGGTCCCCTGACGTCACTTCCACAAAGTCATTGTGGTGCAATAACCAAGCATTCGATAAGCTGGTCCATGGCGCCAACTTGCGGGAGAAATGATTTTACTTCAAGATATTGGCGGTAACACCCTGGCCCCTTGGAAATTGAAAATTTGTGTCCACATACACCAATTTACAGATTTCCACACACACATTCAAACAAATAACAAACACACAAAATATAACGAAATTGTGTCATGCAAAAGAAATTTCATGCAAAAGCTAACTTGCTAATTACAAGCATGCAATAAAATAAGCTTTGTAACAGGTCTTTGAAGAACAGAATATTGGGTCTGGACACTAACAGATCGAACAAGGCCCTCCTTGCCAGGGAAAGTCTTGATAACTCTACCCAACAGCCAGGTATTTCGTGGCAAGTTATGATCCACAATGAGAACAATGTCATCCTCGCTCATATTACGTTGAGGTTTGTTCCACTTTTTTCTTTGTTGTAAAAGAGGTAGATACTCCTTTCTCCATCTTTGCCAGAAAATATCTGCCAAATACTGGACCTGTTTCCAGCGTTTCCTCGAATACACATCCTTTTGTTCAAACAAACCTGGTGGAAGAACAGGTTCTTGTTTTAATAACAATAATGAATTTGGAGACAGTGGTGTCAAGTCATTTACATCACTTGAAACTGTTGTAATTGGACGTCCATTTATAATAGATTCACATTCACACATTAAAGTGGATAGAGCCTCATCGCTTAAAGTTTGTTCCCGACAAATTGAATTAAATACCTTTCTGACAGTCCGAATTTGTCTTTCAAAAACACCACCATGATGTGAAGCGGAAGGTGTTTGAAATATCCATTTTATATTTTTCTGAAGCAGATAATCATGAACTTGCTTCTGATTCCAACATTTTATTGCTTGACGAAGTTCATGTTCAGCGGCCACAAAATTTGAACCATTGTCACTTCGAATTTCCAACACTTGACCTCTACGAGAAACAAATCTCCTTAAAGCCATTATAAATGAGTTCATGTCCAAATTTTGAGCTATTTCCACATGTACTGCACGGTAGTTAGACATGTGAAAGAACCCCATATCGCTTAACATCACTTCTTCCTTGACGAATGAAGAAAGGCCCAAAACAGTCCAAAGCCACATATGAAAATGGTGGTTTATCAGGAGTTACTCTATCAACAGGCAAATCCGACATTTCTTGATATTCGGGTTTACGCTGCTTTCTTCTGCACAAGACACAATTGTTGATAATTTTCCTCACTAATGAAGTCCCCTTTACAATCCAATAGTTCTGCCTAATTTCTGCAAGAACATATTCTCTTCCATTGTGTCCAGTTGTCCTATGAATATAATCAACCATCAGGGATGCAATAAGACTGTCTTTTGGTATAACAATTGGATGCTTAGCATCATAACTAATTGGAGCATCTTTGATTCTGCCTCCAACACGAAGAATATCATTTTTCAAGAAAGGACGCAGCGAAATCAAAGTGCTTGATTTTGAAATTTCTTGATTATTTGACAGCAAACGTATTTCTTCGCAGAAATATTTTGATTGTTCATATTTGATTATCTCCAATTCCGCATTTCGTAGTTCAGTAACAGAAAGTGATTGAATACGATTTTCTTTTGGCAGGTTAGAAGGCAATTCATTTGCATTAAGTTTTGAAAACAACATATTTTTACCTCGTAATATCCAGGCAAAAGCTTTCTTAAGACGAAACCAGTCTGAATATTTTGAAATTATACGATCTAGGACCGATTTTTCACTTGCTGTATTTGAAAAACATTGTATCGATTCTTTTTTCACCTCAAGATTATCCGTAGAGCAATCGTTCATAAAATCCGGCTGTAAAGGCCATTCCTCAGCAGCTTGCAACAAAAAATCAGGACCAGATTTCCAGTATTGGCAATTCAAAAACGCATCAACTGAAAGTCCCCTTGAGGCAACATCTGCTGGGTTCAGTTGTGAAGGCACATAACGCCATTGTTCAATTTCAGAGGTTTCTTTTATCAAGTTTACTCTATTGGCCACAAAAGTTTTAAATACTTTATCTGTATTTGCCAGGTATCGAAGAACAGTTGTACTGTCGGTCCAAAAATATGAAGCCGAAATTGGAAGTTTGAGTTCCTTTTTTAGAAATGCATCATTTTTAGCAGAAATTGTTGCTGCACAAAGTTCGAGTCGCGGTATTGTTGAACCATTTAAAGGGACAAGTCTGGTTTTTCCACTTATAATAGCACAATGAACTTGTCCATACGTATTTGTAATTCTAATGTAAGACACAGCACCATATGACTTTTCAGACGCATCTGAAAAATGATGAAGTTGTATATCGATTATTTTACCAAAATCTTTTGGTGTATAGCATCTCGGTACATTGAAATTCTTTAATTTTGGTAAATCAGAAAGCCATTTTGACCATTCTTTCTTCAATTCTGGTGGAATAGGATCGTCCCAATCAAATTTCTTCCTACATAAATCTTGAATCAAAACTTTCATAGGTTGAAGAACTGGCTGACCGAAACCAAGAGGATCAAAAATAGAATTAATAGTTGACAACAATCCTCTTTTTGTAGCAGGTTTATCCTTATGTTTGACACGAAAGCACAAAGTATCTTGTTCTACATCCCAAATCATGCCAAGCGCCTTTTCCACTGGCAGGTCATCCACTGAGAGATCCAATCCTTTGACATCTTTCGCACGATGCTCTTCCGGAATTGACAACAAAACAACTCGATCATTACTGACCCATTTTGTTATTTCAAATCCACCTTTGGATACTAAATTTCTTACATTCTTGACATGATCTATAGCTTCCTCAGCATTGGGTTTTGAATCCAAAAAATCATCAACGTAGAAAGCATCATAAACAGCATTCACAGTGCTTTCACTAAAATCTTTTTATTATCTTCAGCAGTCTTTTTCAAGGCAAAATTGGCACAACTGGGTGAGCAGATTGTACCAAAAAGAAATGAAGTCATTCTAAAGCAGGCCACAGGTTGTGAGACATCACCATTGCGCCACCAAAGAAATCTCAAAAAATCTCTATGAGGTTCGGAAACTTTCACTTGGTGAAACATTGCTCGGATGTCTCCTTGAATTGCAACGGATTGTTTTCGAAAACGAGCCAGAACACCAACCAAATTATTTGCAAGGTCTGGCCCCTGTAACAGAACGTCATTCAAACACAGTCCAGAAAATTTAGCTGAACAATCAAATACAACACGAAGGCTTTTCTTTTCTGGGTGGCGCACTCCGTGGTGACTAAGATACCAAGTTTTACCATCACATTCCCCTGAATTATTGACCTTCTCTGCATAACCATTATCAATCATATCATTTACAAAACTTTTGTATTCATTGTAGAAATCCGGTTCTTTTAAAAATCGTCTTCTGAGATATTCTAATCTTTGTTCTGCATGACTTTTGTTTTTTGGCAAAATCACATTAGGATTTTTAAATGGAAGATCAATTTCATAATGTCCATCCGTTGTCAAATGAATAGACTTGTTCACTCTTTCCATGAAAATTTCTTGATTAGGGGAAAATTCTGGTTTTTCGTTTTGTATCGAATCGACCACTTCAGTGCACATTTTACAAAGTGGGTGCACACTAGATTTGACAAAAAAATTAGAATTTGATCTTTCAACTTTCTTAGTTTTGGGAGGACAGCTAATCATCCATCCAGCAGGGCATCTCACAGCAAAATATTCATCTGGCCCGTGTACAATTTCCAATGGCTTATGTAGAGCAAAATTATCTTTTCCTATCAGCAAGCCAACTTCTTGATTTAGCCTGGGAATTACCACATCCTTGAATTCATGAAACTGATCCACATCCTTCTGTGTTGGAATATTTGAAACATCAATATCGATACATTTATTAGAAAACAGTTGACCCAATGCAATAAAATCAGATTCTTCAAAATGGGATAGCTCAATGTCGTTAATAACAGAGCTTTTCTTTTGTTCAGTCACATTTGAAATAGTACGAATATTTAAATTTGTTTCCTGATCAGTGGCATTCAATCTTTGCATGAGCGCTTCACTTATAAAAGAACATGTTGAGCCAGTGTCGAAAAAGACATTTGTTAACACAACATCATTCTGTCCCTTCACACGTACCTTGACTGGAATTACGTTTAATAACACTCTTGCTTCACTGGCAGAATTCACAAACGCACTAAATTTATTTGCTTCTCTGTTTTCATTAGTATTTTTTGATACAGAAGCATCATCAGCAGGCTTATGATGTTCAGATTGATCATCCGCATTTACATTATCTGGGGGGTGCAAAAGCGTAGTATGCTTTCGCTTACAATTTGGAACTCTGCATGGGTTCTCGCGTCTGCACTGCCTTGACCAGTGCCCTTTTTGTAGACAAGAAAAACATAATTTCAAATCCCTCACAAATCTTTCTCTGTCCGCATGTTTCATGTTCCTAAACTCTTGACATTGATTCAGGAAATGAGTGCCACTGCATTTAAAACATTTAGGAATTGGTTTGTCAGCAGCGGAGACAGTTGTAGTAAAATATGACTTGTGTTGCTTCATTGGTTTATTTGCAATTTCTCTGGGTTTTTGGACATTATTTGTTTCAGGATTAGAAAGGTTTGACAATTCCCTCGTTTTCTTACGCACATATGACACAAGATGTGCTAAGGTCAAGTCCTTTTCTTTCACATGAAGAGTATCATCCACCAAAGTTCGCCAACCTGGCCTCCAAACTGATGGCATTCTCCACGATATTTTATCAATGATCATCAAAGACAGACCTTTATTTTTAATACCTTTTAATGTATTTTCACATGCAATTAATTCAGCAGCAAACATTGTTAAAGCTTCCAGGTCATTGGTTCTAAGTTGCGGGCCCTCTATAATAGAATTCAAACATGCCTGTTCAATTTGCAATTTATGGCCATAAGTTTCTGCGAGTAATTTCAACGCTTCATCATAGCATGCCGAACCTTTATGTTGGCATCCTTTTACTAGAGCACGAGCAGTGCTCTTGTGTATTGTAACAGATAAACAAATCTTTGCTTTGCATTCTGCACCTTTGCAGCAATAACGGTATCAAAAATGTCAATAAAGTCGTCGTGTATTCACCAGGATCACCAGAAAAAACTGGAGGTTCTGTTGGAGGTAAATTTGCTTGCTGGGGCACATAAATCACTTGTGGTGATAATTGTATTGGTACCTGGCTTGGCTGGGGTATATTAATTTGAGTAGCTTCTTCATTAATAATTGGCATTGTCAGTCTATTGATGTCACCATTGGCGCGTTGTGACATGTTATAAATTGGAATCTGTACCTGTATTTGAACTAAAATTGCTAGCAAAATCAGTGCAAGAATAAGTCATGCAATTACTGGTAGGTGCATTATTACTGATAGTAGAAGCAGCAAAATAACTTGATCTAGCAGTACAGGTAGGGCATGCAGCATATGAACTCATACAAATAGGCTGAATTTGATTTGCAAGCACATTTACTGGATTCACAGCAGAATTTATTTGTTTAGGAATTGTTATTGAATTATTAGCATTATGAGATGCAGTACTAGTCACAACCATACATTCATTCACACCAAGCACACTGGTAGTATGTGGACAACAAATTTCAAAACCTGGGGAGGATGAATAAACCGACATACCTTGATCCACACCAATAGCAGGCACGGAAAGCGAAACATCCCCTAACGTGTAACTTGGCTGATTTGCAGTTGTTAACATGGTCTGAGATGGCACAGTAGATTGAATATTATTTCCAATTGTAGCAGGAGAATGAGATCTTATTTCAGGTGGAGATACAATCTGTATCTCGTTACTATTTGACACATTTGTACAGGTGCCAAGTAACAGTTCACTTCCATTTGTATCGGAAATAGCAGGAAGGTCAAAAGATAACCCCCTCTCTGCCATAGCTTCCGTAAAGTCAGCATCCAATTCTAACTGGGTGCGCTGATCTCTACGTTTTAGTTCAACTAGTTCTCTGTCTTTGCGTTTTTGGAAACTTTCCTTTTCGATTTGGCGCTTTCTTCTTAGCTCTTCTTCTTCCATTCGAATCTTTTCCTCCTGAATTTGACGTTTTCGTTTGATTTCTTCGTTTTCTCGTATTAACTTTTCTTCTTCAATTTGACGTTTTCGTCTTATTTCTTCATTTTCCATTCTCACTTTCTCGCTCCAATCTGCTTCTTCTTGAGAAATGGAGTCTTGTAGCTGAATCTTTTCCAGCTCAATCTTTTTTTGTAAATTTAATTTTCTTGCTTTGTAAATATCTTGGATTTGAGAGTCACTGTAAGTGGATACCCGTGACATTACCGATGACGCAGTTCGGATACTTCGAGATCGTAACGAACCCCCAACACTGAAAACTTTTGATTTTTGTGAAACACTGTCACGTGATTGAGCAATATATTTTGATTTCGCTCTTGTGGTCATTTTGTGAACATTCATTTTCTTTTCTTCGGCATTGAAAGATGCTACGGACTTCCCTTGTTTATTTGTTTCATTTTCTATTTGGGAAACCGAATCCACATCAGACGATCTTCGAAAAAGGTCATGAATCGAGCCACTACCGGAACCAACAGGAGATAATATTTTTTCAGCAGCGACAACTTCAGGGTCAACTGCAGGCTCTTTCATGTGATGACAGTGTTATTGGAACTTGGGACGGTTCTGAATCATCAGATTCTTGTTCTAGCACCATTTCCTGTGCATTTTGAAAACTTTGTACAGCTTCTTCAGTGTATTGAACTGGATTTGACTCAGCCATAATTTTATGTCCACTAGTAAAGGCTTTTGAATTTCACAATTGTCAATACTTTGTAGAAACGTCAAAAAACTTTATGTTGGCGCAGAGCCTTGATTAAATCTTAATTGTGGAGCGCGGACTCTGCCCACATAGGGTGTACGGATGGCCAATACCAATACTCTCAACGACCAGGTTGCACTCTCAAAAAGACGCGTACTATCACTGTATCAGCATAAAATGTTTTATTTTCTTGTGATGTGTTGCAAACAGTGTAAAACAATACGAACAGATGCAGTACTGCAATATGAACAGATACACAGTACGAACAACAATACTTCAGTACGAACAGATGCACAATACAAAGAAGTACGGTTTTCTGAAATAACATAAAAATAATAAATACACAAATAATAACAAGATCGGGGTAGTATCGTATCAGTAGGCCTATACTATTGTAAACAAACCCTAAATATCTTTGTTACGTCACACAATCACCTAATGACCAACTATGGCATCACTAACGGTTATAATAAATAAACACACAAATTACCTCTGCCTGCACTTTCAAGGCCTGACAGGAAAACTTAGAATACAAAACTATATGTATAAACTTACTTGACGTTGTGTCCTCAAGGGTCGTTAAGCAGTAACTTGAACATTAAATCACAATAACTTGACTGAATTACTTAGCAATATTACAATAACAACTGTGAGAAATATCAATAATACACTATTATTAGCAGTACAAATAAATACCCTACAATTTACTAACACTACAAGCTCAAGACGTTTACTAATTAATCAATTATAGACCCTAAAATAACACTCTCAGACCGACTCAAAACAGCCATCAGCCAGAAACTTCCAGAATCCTGCAGCGCGCGCGTC